AGGCTGGACACAGCTACAGTTCCAAGGCATTGTGCACTTGCCCTGCTCAGTGTTTTGTCTGGATGATGCCCCAGGCTCTCCCCTCCTGCCCTTGTCCCTGTCCCTGTGTGTGCATTCCCATTGGGCAGTGTGTGCTGCTGGCCCTGGCAAACCCTGTGTGTGTGCCCTCGGGCCATGGGGGCACTGAAAGCTTCTCCTCCTCCTCCTCCTCCTCCTCCTCCATTGGCCCAGGAATGGAGTGGGAGCTTTGGGGATCCTTCTGTAGGGTGGTCCCACATGGAATCGAGTCCAGGGCTGCACATCCATGGCCTGTCCCACCAGTTCTGTTCTGCTGCTGGAGCTGCCTCCCCCCTCGTGAGCCAGGGCTGTGTGCTCCCTTTGAATGCTGGTAAAAATAGCGAGCATTTTGTTATTGTTATTGGTGGTGTGGAAGTGCCTCCCACTGGGATGCCTTTTAGATGCTCCCTTGGCTGTTATCCTGTGGAAGGAGGCTGGCTGAGATTTGTGCCTCCTGTGCACTTTACTCATTGGATTAAAGATAAAATTGAAGCTTTCCTAAAAGACTGGGTAGCCTTAAAAATGAATGAATATGTGGGATTAACGACCTATGAGATAATTCATTTTTCTAATCCTGTTTAGAAGTAACTATTGAAATAAATGGATTTACTGGTGGAGTAAATGTGAATCTAGAAGGTCTCACTGTACATTTACCTTTTGAGCTGTTGGACTCTGAGGATCAGGTAATTAAATTCATGAATCAGAGAAGAGATGAAAGTAGGTTGTAGGAGTTACCACCCTTCAAAAGCGTTAAAGGTGCAGAAGGAGCTGACAGTTCTGTGCTACCTGGGTGAACTTGGCCGTGGCTTTGTGTCCCCTTTCCTCATGTGGTAGTGTTGCTTCTGAGGTGAATGCACCGAGGAGCAGTTGTGATTTTCTGTGTCATGAAATGATGCTCCATGTGATTTTTTTATGTCATTAAATGATGCTCCATGTGATTTTTTTTGTGTCACGAAGTGATGCTCCGTGTGATTTTTTGTGTCATGGAATGATGCTCCATGGCTGTGCTTCTGTAGCAGGTTGGTTTGGGTTTGTTTTGGGTATTTTTTAATGTATCAGTAAAATAATAAAGCTGTCCAGTGTTTACTTGGGAGAAGGGAGATGTGATCACCTGCTGAAGCTGCAGCTCTCTGCTGCTGAAAGCAGATGGATTTGTGTGTCCTGTCCAGGGGTTCTCCCAGTGCACCTGGAAAAGGAGGATGAGTCTTGCTGGCAAGCTTAGCATTCCCTCCCTCCTGGCATGATGTCTGTGTCTGCATCTCTTGCAGCACGAGGTGTGAAGATAATTTGCAGCCTCCTCCTTTTAATTGCAGAAAACCTAGCTTCCAAAAGGCCAGGTGGAGGGGGATCTGTGGGGATTCCTGTGCAGGAATGAGCAATGGGCCAGGTGTCTGCCTTCCATGAGGATATTCCCTGTGCCACATCTGGTGCTAGCACAGCTGCCCTCCCCAGATGATGAGGAAGCTCTGTGGTCAGGGAGGGCTGGGAGCAGGAATTCCTGTGGATTTGGAATTCCTGTGGGGCTTGATGGCTCGTGGGGAATGCTGTGAGGTATGGTTCTGAGCAGCACAGCCTCAATTAGGTTCCTCTGCACACAGGCTGTGAGGACGTGTTCTGCTCCATCAAACCTAAAATGACAAAATCATTTGTAATCTCTCATTACCAGTCCCTCTGGGCTTTCCATCCACACCTCCCTTGTGGCATTACTCAGCAGCCAATAACTTCCTGCTGTTGCCAGCTATACTTAAAAATGAAGTTTTAGGAATTGGCTGAAATATTTAACTCCGAGATCCATAGGAAAAAGAACTAGGTCAGGTCTGAAATATTGCTGCTAATGACTAAGTAGCCTTTATTAATTACTTGTGCTTGATTGTAGTTTGCCACGAGTGGGTACGTGTGCTTTTACCCCTCTGATTCTGTCTCCCACCCCGTGGGGGGTAAGGAAAAGGGCTGTGTGGGGCTTGGTTGCCAGCTGGGGTTAAACCATGGCAGTGCAGCCAGAGTTCATCACCTACATTTCTTCCTAGACGGGAAGTGGTTTCTCACAGTGAGTAATCAGGCTGAAAATACATTGCAGAAGGCACCTGACTCCGTGCTCAGCTCTTTTCTTCTAAGTTATTTAGGCGTTGAGAGTGACTCTGTTTGACTCTTGTGTGTGCAAAAAAAGGCACCAGCAGGAGTAAAATATCCCTCTGTGATACACAGAGCAGGCTTTGTGTTTGCTGCAGGTATTTGGAGTTTGCTGGGGTACCCAGCCACTCACTGGGCTCACAGCACACCCACCCCATCCCATCCTCACTGCAGCACAGCAAACATCAGCTCACCTCCCCTGTGATCCCACCCAAACCCACGCAGCTCTTTGGCTTCTTAGTGGTGTTCTGAGCACATGCTTGGCTTCCTGGCAAGGCCTGGACCCTCTCCAAAATAGGGACCTTCAGTTTGCCTGGCCAGCATGCAGGGCTGTCAGGAATTTTGCACTGTTTCATGTTTTAAATGCCTGAAGCCTAAATCTGTAACCCAGGTGTTCTTCACTCGTGCCTGCTCTTCTCTTTGATTTACCCCTTTTGTATAAAAATCTTTAGTATATTAAATAAGTACTTGACCATCTTTTTTTTTGTCCATAATGAGGGAGGTTTCTCAAAAGTTTTCTTCCCATGTGGTGCCTGTTAGTCACAGCTAATTACAGAGGTTGGTGAATGAGGACTATATCTGAGCTCAGGTTCCCCTCCTCCTCTTTCCACAGTGCTTCAGAAGAAATAAAATAAAAATCCTGCAGACAAATCCAGGTTTTTTCTGTGGTTGTGGTCTCCGAAGAGCTCCAGAGAAATTACAGATGTGGTTTCACATTTCAGCTTTAACTATGTTGTAATAACTACAGCCTTATCTGCAGGAGAAATGCAAGTGGGGAAAGAATCATTAATTGACAGTGAAAAGTTTGACCCCAGCTCTGTGTGTTTGTTTGTTTTAAGCAGCTGAATGTTTAGCCAAACGATATTTTAACTTTTGCCTGCAGCCCTGAAGGTTACAATAATCTCCATAGGTTAAACCCCAGGAGTGTTAGAGGAAGGGGAGCTTAGATAGGTGTTTCAGGAAAGCCAGTCCTAGGAAAGCAGAAATTCTTGTGGTGTAGCTGAAGCCAAGACACAGCCTTCAGTTTTAATCCAGCTGCACACACACCTCCTGCAGGGTGCACAGACCTTGCTCTAAACACAGGAGGGTTTTCAGGTGTTTTGGTGGGTGCAGAGCAAGGCAGCTGTGAGAGGTGAAGCCTCGTGGCTGAGCACACAGGAGCCCACAGCTCACATGAAGTGTTGGACTAACATCTAATTTTTTTCCTATCTTTTGTCAGTGTTCATTCAGGAAGCCTGCTAGCTTGAATGAGTTCCTGTGTGTGTGTGTAGTGTGAGCATTATCCAGCAGGACTACATGGGATATGTCTATTATTTGTCACAAAGGCACCAGTGACCTTCCTGCCCCTATATTAGCAGTGCCTGCTGGTTTTCCATACTGCCAGTTGTCAGGAATGCAGATCATCCATCGAGCTGGGTGCAGTCCTCACTGGCCAAATTGTTGTCTCAGCAAAACAAAATGTTTCATTATATAAAAAATAAAAATTAGAGACGTCGTCTCAGCAGGGCATTCCCACTCAAATGCATGTTTGAGGCTGGAAAAATGAATAATCAATGGATAGAGGAGGCAGATTACATAATGAAATTACACATCTCTGGTTTAACAGGTACAGGTTTTTTCAAGGTTGGTTTGTTGTTTTTGTTTTCTGTTTTCAGAACTGCAGCACACAGAAGATTCCAGGAGTAGCCTGAATTTTCAGAAATTTGGGGCTAGGACAGGAGAATCCTGCCTAGCACTTTCAGAAATTTGGGCTAGGACAGGAGAATCCTGCCTAGAACTTTCAGAAATTTGGGCTAGGACAGGAGAATCCTACCTTGAAAACAAAGTCTAAAACTGTTGCCTGAGCTCTAGGAAGCACACACACACATGCAAATTCTTAAAATTAGTACAATACTAAGAGCTGTATGAAAGGTTATTGGTAACAAACCTAAATAGTCCTGTATTTCATCAGAGCAATTGTTTTATGTACTTGTTTGATAGGGAAAGGCGTCATTATGATATAGCTATATCAAAATTTTGCGTTGAAAAAGTTATATGTTAAAAAAGTACTGGAAAATGTGCTTTTCATTGCTACATGCTTGGGTTGGTGGATAAACCAGTGTCTGAACAACTCTGTGCTCTGCTGGAGAGCACTGAGGGAGTCAGTTTTCCTTGAGAAATACTAAATGAATTTTAAATGATAAGATTCTTTTAAAAAGTCACTGTAAGGCTAAACATTGTGAATGTTTATTTCTTTTATTATTTTTTATTATGTTTTCTTTCATTGTTTTTGTTATGTTTTCCCTGTATCTGTAGGAGGCTCAGGGGTTCAAACCCCAGTTTTGTGACAGTGTTCTGGTAATAAAAGTGCTGAAAGGAGCAAGGTTGAGTTTAGTGAGATGTCACAGTGGCACAGATGGTGCTGCCCCATCGAGCCTCTTGTTGAACTGGTACTGCTGCCCTGTGCTGGAAGAAATTGATTTTTGCCTCAAAAAAACAAAAAACTTTGTTTTGTTTTGGTAGTTAGCATAGGGAAGGAGTTTGAACATTCCCAAACTGTGACAAAAACCTCGAGATTCAGACTTTGTTATTTTAGTGTTTTTCCCTTTCTCTCTAGTGAGTAAATGCCCCCAGGGCTGAACGCACTCAAAGTACAAAAACAGCATCAGACATTAATCTAAATTCAAATGTATATTTTAACATATGTATGTATTTAAATCAGTGTGTGTTAGAGGCATCCCGAAGAACAGAAACTGTTTTCATTCAGAAAATTTGGAGAAAGGAAGAGATTTTTTTATTTTACACTGACGCATTTTGTCTTACTTCCCCCAAAGGACACCATGGTTTAATGGATGGGGCTTTAATCTACCCAGAGGTCAGTCTTTGCTAGACAAGTGGAACCTTATTCCTGAGGGAATTGATATACTAATGACACATGGACCTCCCCTTGGTAAGTGAAACAAAAGTTCTGTGTGATTCTTTGCATGAGAATTTTACTTTCAAAGTGAGCAAAGTTGATAATGCTGTAAGATATCCTGTAATTGCACCCAGAGTAAAAACTGTGGATTGAAAAACTTTCTGAAAGAAGTGGAAAATGATGATTAGGCTTAGCTGATCCGTTGAGTTTCCATAAAAAACTTGATTTTTTAAATTAAATTCAAGCTAGGGAAGATCAAATATCTGACACCATAACCATTATAGTTTGACATTTTATTTAAGAACAGTATTCATCTGACAACCCGTTTTCAATCCCATATGACTTTTTAGAGATTGACTAAAACTTTTGAAACCTTTTCTCACTACAGTGTCGTGTCATTTTAAGGTTTGAGAGTAGCAGTCAAGAGTTTGGAACTATGTAGTCACATATTCTCCTTGGTAATGTCCTTGTAAACTTAGAATATGTAAGAATAGTTTTAAAGGTATTAATTGGCTTATAAAAAAAATCTGTGAAGGAATAAGATTATGTTCTTAGATAATTGTTCCTAACTTGATCTAATGACAGGAAAGCACCAGCCTATGAATGCATAATTTGTTTCTTCATTAGGTAGCTAAAGTTTCTCATTTAGTTGAGTTTTGCTTGTCTTGTCAGTGTCAGTCATTCGCTGATCTCAGTTTTAAGATTTAAACTGAGCTCTGCTAGTCCCAGAAGGACCCCAGGACACTCATCCAGCAGAGGCAGGGGTGCTCAGTTTTGGCATATCTGAAGTCCTTGAAGCCCTCTCTGAACCCATTTGGCAAGTGCCACTATCCTGTCTCCACCCTACCCAGAATAATGAATTTTTTGTTGCCTTTCCTCCAGACACACGTGGCAGGCAGCCTGGGACTGTGGTTTAACTCTCTCAGCTGGGTTTACAGCAGCTGAGCTCTTACAAATGTCACTTGTCAGCATGAGGAAGTGGGGCAGTGTCTTCATGGCCCTTACTGTGAGAAGAGTGATTTTTGTCATGGTTTTAGGACTTTTGTCAGGGTTTTAGGAAGTTCTTGCAACCCAAGGGGTCATACAATCACAGGAAGTGGCCAAATCACAGTCACTCAGTACATTTGTGGTAGTGAATATGTAAAATCTTCTCAGAATTGCATGGGGCATTTTAATAAAACAAACCAGCATTTAAAGTGCTTCCAGGCTGGCTCAGTGTTCTTTTAGAGCTTCTTGGTGACTGTGGAGTCAGGAATTAATGCATGCTTATGTTTTTTACCACAATTAAGTTAAGAGTCAGCAATCCAAGCTAAGGGGAGAAAAAAAAGTCCGGAAAGTTTTTGACCAGTGTACTTACTGCTCCTTTTATATTCTGGTTAGTTTTTTAATGCTACTTAGGGGATGTTGTAAGAAGAGCAGCAAATTCCCTTTAACCTTGCTGGAGCTGCCAGCATGGTGCAACCCAGGGCCTTGAACAGCACTCTCTTAATCACTTCATTTTCCCAAAGAAGCAAAAAAAAAAACCCAAACCCCAAGTGTGTTTATAATGTTTCATGGGTGCTGTTTCAAATGGGTTGCTCATCCATCTGCTCTGAGCTGGGCTCATGCAGAAATACTGTGATGCTGCAGACAATAAAGAGTGCTGTCATTGAATAAGACTGCTTAAATTCTGTGTTTGAAGGAGATAATGAAGTTCAGTTTCAAAAGGTTGGCACTGTGTCTCAACGACAGACACAGATTAGGTGTCAGTACTGTCCCTAAAATGAGGGGCTCTAGGTCTCAGCCTGCATGATAACATTGATAAAGCACTGCTTTTTAATTAAGTGTTTACTTATTAATATTAAGTGAATATTAAGGGAGGTAGAGCTGTAACTGGACTCTCTGGTCACTCTAAAATTGAGGCAAGTTCATGTCCCAGCATGTTTTTGCTAAAGTCAGTAGAATGGTGCTACAGCTGGACGTGGCTCCTCATTTCCCTTTACTCCTCCTCGTTCCCTTGCCCTGCTGATGCTTCCCATGCCAGTCCAGGCAGCAGGCTCCTGCAGGGATTGATTTTTCATACATTTTTCTGTGTTGTCCAGAAGACCAAGTGGCAGTGTGGTCACTTGCCTTGTTGGGAGCTGTTTTGCAATTTTTGCATGGTGATGAGGGCTCACAAGTGACCTGATGCCTGCAGACCAGGTCCCCCAGAAGCTGTGGGAGTCTGTATTTTAAATCTTTGGGATTGAGGGGTGGCTCAGCTCATCTTCCTGAGCTGTTTCATTTCTGGAGTAACCACAGAGCTGACTGCTGTAAGAGCCAGGGGAAAGGGAAGAAAAATCTGCAGCAGTGCCAGGAAAACATCTGCAGCAGTGCCCAGTCCCTGGGGTTTCAAGGTGGAAGAAACCTATAGTTCAAAAAAAACCAAATGACATCCAGGAAAAATATTAATGCAGATGGAGGGAGGAAATCTTAAGGAAGACAAAGTGAAACATTCCTTAAAAGCCATTGTGTGCTTTAATGGAGTGGTTATGACTGGAGATAATGGAATAAACCCTGTGTGAATTATGACTTCCTGAAAGACTAGGTGAAACCTCACCTGAATAGGGGAAATTAACAGCGCTGATTGCTTTTTTTTGCCTTCAGGTTTTCGAGACTGGGTTCCCAAGGAGCTGCAGAGAGTGGGCTGTGTGGAGCTGCTGAACACAGTGCAGAGGAGAGTAAGGCCCAAACTGCATGTCTTTGGTGGGATTCATGAAGGTAAGGAGCAGAGCTGTTCCCTGCTTCACCTCAGATTTCCAGAGGCACATTTTTTTGCAGTATTGCAGTGGATAATGGCAGATTGGATTAAAGCAGGGAGGGAGTTCAGGGAAGTGATTGCCTGCGTGGCACTTTGTAAATTTATTCCAGAATTAAAGCAGACTGTTTCAGGAATGTGTGCTACATTTAGCCACCTACATCTTTCACTGTGCTGCAAAGGTTGTTCCATACAGGTTATTTGAAAGCAATTCAAGTTTTGACAAACTCGGTTAGAGAAACAGATGAGATTCCCCACACTTGCGAGCCAAAATGAAAATTATCCCCATTACTCCCAGCACAGGAGCTAAGAAAGATGCTAGAGGAGAAAAAGGAAATGTGGAGACAGCCTGCTGCCTCTGCTCACCTCCCTCAGGGTATAAGGGGAAGCAGAAAGGAGGGCATCTCGAGGCAGGCATCAGTGTCATGTTTCAGAGGAGATATTCCCCCTCTGTGCTTGCCAGCACAGGCAGTGTGAGCCCTGTGTCAGCTCCAGAAACAACCAGCTCAGTTTGTGGCAGTGGAAGAGACTGGGAGATTAAATACATTCTGGAGATGCTTAAATATTTAATACAATTCTGTGGCTCTCGTGTGGCTGAGAGACCAACACTAGGAGTTCTGCCTGAGAGACAGTGCAACACTTCGTGACCCCAGAACTCAAAATTACACATGAAATGTTTTATGTTCTCCCCCTGGAGATTTCTCCATTGTCTCTAACTAGGTTCTCCGTAGGCCTAAAGATTTCCAGGACTTCATAAAAGCAAAATAAAAAGAGGACAGCTCTCTTTGCCAGTGGTGTTGGTTTTTCTGAAGCCCTTGTGACTTCATACAATGATTTCCATGCCTGGCATCTGTAAATACAGAGTTCATACTGGGAATACTGACATGACCCTCTGCATAGAGGCATAAATAACAGTCCTTTAATGCACCCATTAAAAAGATTGGGTATTTTGTACAAATATTAGTCCTCACATATTAAAAATGAATGAATATGGCAAGATTCCGAGCTGAAATGTGTAAATTGTAAATTTGGGTGGTGAAACTTGTGGTTGTAACAGTGCTAAGGGTGGGAGAGGAGGGTGTCTGAATGTACAGGACCATCACTATGAGAAAGCACCACATTTAAATCTCCTGGGAAAGGCGGCAGGACATATTACAAGTGAGCATTCAAATAAATTCTTGTACAAATACCAGCAAAAATTTAAAATAATTTCTAGTACTTACACAGAAGACACAAGAATGGCTTGTTTCAGTACAGGAAGAAGTAGCAAAGTGTTAAGAGCATTATCTCAGGGTGCAATTAATTTGTATCCAACCGCAGCTGAGATGAACATGCACCACCTTCCCTTGAACCAGGAGAGGCCATACACACATTTTGGTGATGCAGGTTTTTCCCCATAAGCAAAACAACCACAAACAAGGTTTTTCCCACCATGAGAAGATCTAAATCAGAATTGCCAGTCTAAATAAATAAAGGGAGACAGGTGGACAGTGCAGCAATTCTGAAGTGATGATTCTTTCTGATAGGCACTGTGGGTAGCTGTATTTATCTTAGCTTTCAGACAGCACTGATCTGGACTGTATCATAATGGTTTAAAAGAAAAAACCTTTTTCCTCTGTGGGTTTTCAATGGGAAGCTTTCTTCCTCCATGAAACTCTGGGGATTTTTTTTCAATGATTTTTTTTTTAAGTACATTTGGACCAAATACTTCCTGGATGTTTTCAAGCCTCTTTGTTAGCTTTTTGTGGATGTCAGCTGAAAACACTCAAGCTTTTATAAAATTCTTTTAAAATAGATATATAAATTAAATAATGGAGTCAAAGAATGGTTTGGATTGGAAGGGAGTTTAAGGATATCTCATTCCAAGCCCTCTGCCATGGGCAGGGATGCTTTCCACTATCCCAGCTTACTCTGAGCCCTGTCCAGCCTGGCTTTGAGCACTTTGGGGATGGGGCAGACACAGCTTCCCTGGGCAGTCTGAGCATGTGGATTTGTGTGTTTTTAACCTGCTGACGAGTTCCTGAGGTCTCAGAAGCTGATGCCTCAGGTTTGGCTTTTCTATTTCTCACATTCTGTGCTGCTTTAGTGTGTGGGTCTGGGCTTCACAGTGTGAGCAGCAGCTGGGCAGTGCTGGGATGAGGAGCTGGGTGATAAGGGCCAGCACAGGGCAGCTGACAGAGTTCAGGTTGTTTGTTGGAGAGGAGGTACTGAGGCTAAACCAAAGTCACTTCAAAATCTTTTCTTCTGAATGGTCTTTTTCTTCTGGCAGGCATGCAAGCTATAACTCACTAATTTAGTAATTAGGCAAAGAACATGTGTGGTTTGTGTTTCTGCCATGCCCAGTCACAACCGAGGATTTTCCAGGGGTGACAAAAAGTTTGTACATAAACCAAAAGTGCCCCTTCTTATCTCAAACACACTGGGTTTTTTTCAGTCGAGCCTTTGTGTCAGAGGCACCAGCTGGTGTCATTTTGAAGAGGTCAGTTGGGTTTTATTGCACAGCAGGGATGGCCCAGCAGTGCTGGGGTGCTCCGTGTGTCCCTGGCAATCATGCCTGGTGAGGGCTGCCCCAGAGCAGAGGCTGGACAGAGCTACAGAATAAAGCAAGTGAGCGTGCCCCCTTGTCCCCACAGGTTATGGGATCATGACAGATGGCTACACCACCTACATCAACGCCTCCACGTGCACAGTCAGCTTCCAGCCCACCAACCCTCCCATCATCTTCGACCTTCCCACCCCTCAAGGATCCTGAAGCACTACTGGGGAAGGTCTATAAACTGCCATTTTCTAATTAAAAACTTACCTTCATGTTTATTTCAAAATAGGGGCTAGGGGGGATTTTGGGGGAACCGTGGGGGGTTTTTGTTTTGGGATGGGGTTTGGGGTTTTTTGTTGGTTTTTTTTTTTTTTTTAATTTGTAAATTGCTGGTGCAAAAGAAACAAGAAGAGAAGTTAGAGGTTGTGCTTTTTGGAAATGCAGCATTCATTTTAAATTGATAAAGCATTGTGAATTTGTAAAATGAATTTTGTTTTCCAATAAATTTGCCATTGTAAATTGTTATAGTGTTCTCAAAAGGACAGCCAAGCTTTCTTTTAATAAGTGAGAGACCTTATTTTAATATTATATTATAAGCTAAAAAATAGGCAGCATTTAAATACACCCAAATTTGCACAACTTTTGTTATTGTCGGGGTTTTTTTAAGTGTCTTCTTTTTCCCTAGGTTTAAATGTTAGCTTTTTATCTCAATTTATATCAATTTTTTTAGTAGCACAAACAATGTTTTGGGGTCCATTTACCTCTTGACATGCGTGCATGTACTTTAACTTGTTTCTATTCATGGTAGAATGCGGCAAGGGGAGAATAGGTTTCTCAGTTGTTTGTCTCTACCTGCTTTATAAAGACTGATCTTGATAGCCACAGCCTGTGTGTGATATCTACCTTCTGTTGTTTCTTTTTTTAAATTATTTTAGCTTTAAAAGACTGGGGGTGAAAGCTGCAAAGAGCAGGTATTTCATGCAGTAAAAAAAAAAAAAAAGAAAAATTGTAAATGCGGACTCCTTTTAAATATGAATTTATATATATATGTATTTTTTGTGCATTATAACTAAGCTAGGATTTAATATTGCGAGTATAGCATCTGCAAAATTATGCTGTACAGCACATCTAAATTATGAAGGATGTGACACGTTTTTCCAAGTGCTCAAGGCCTTCAAGAGCCCGAGTTAAATCTTTGTTGTAGTTCAGGCATGTATAGAGTCAAATGGATACAATCAAGCCTAAATAAAATAAGGCTTAGTTGTCCTTTATATTTAAATATTCTTCTTGTCTTTTTTATTTCCTTTTTCTTATTTTGCACTGTGTGTAAATGCAATCTCACTAGCACAAAATATTGTTGCAGATAGTTATTTCTGTTCCACCACTGTAAATGCTATTGAGCTTCGTTCTGTTTTATGTTACCTTGTTAATGGAATTTAGAAAAGCAGTTGTTTCTTTAAATTTATTGTGATATTATATCTAGCGGCCTTTATATGCAAATAAAATTGCAAGATTTTTAAATACGTGGTTCAAGGGAATGCTGTGGTTTTTTGGTGGCATGAACAACTTGGGGAGTGATGATTAAGGTAAGTGAGAAGTTTTCTCTTTCTCAATACATGCATATTGCAGCCCATTCATCAGATGTCAGCTGGGTCAGTGGAGCACTGAGAGTTCCCTTCTGTTTCTGTGCCATCCATCTCTCACTCCTTTCAGGCAGAAGGGATTTTCTCTTTAGGTGTTGTAGGTCACTGTGACCAAATTTAAGCCTTGTGGGATCCTCTTCCAAATGACACAAGGAAGAATTGACCAGGCAGGAGCCTTTTTGCTGCCTCACTTGGTCATTAGCACCGAGCTGCAGGTGTCTCGTGCTCACCCACTCCGGGTTAAAAAATGAACAGTCAGTAGGTTAAAACATGAACAGTCAGTAGGTGGAATAGATCAGTTTTCATGTGGATCTCCTGTCAGTTTTGTGGCTGCAGCAGGATCCAGCACTGGCAGGGCAGGGGGTTCAGTGCATGCCAGTGGGATGACAAACACTGCAGCACCTGCTGGTGGTGCTGCATGCAGTTATAGAGATAATAACAGAGTCTTCTTCCAAACCAGCAGCTATGGCTGCAAAATCTGCCTTCAGACATGAGAAAATAAGGCACACTTTGCATGAATCTGCATCCTCAGTTACAACACCTGGAGAGGGTCAGAGCATCCCCATTTATCTTAACAGGTTGGTAACTTTTGACATTATTTTGATACAAAGGTTAGAAAAAATTGATAGACAAACAAAATAGATGAACAAATCCAAGGCTCTTACAGCAGAGCACTGTCTGCATTTTGATGTAACATGCATGACACAGATCTTGGCCAAAATCTTCACATTTATAAGGGTTCTATAGTAAAGTCTTTTCTGGGGAAGAAGCTGCTGTATCTCCTAAATATAGTTCTTGTTCTGTATGTGGAATTCCTTGTCAGGTTTCCTTATGAAATAGACAGGTACCTTCACTCCTTAATGATATCTGCCTCACTGTGCTTGCAGTGCTGCTTACTTTATCAACTGAGCCAGAGGAAGAAAGGTCACCAAATATTAGTCCTTACTTCTGGATGTAGATGCAGGGTCTGTCTTGTGGGGTTTTTTTCAGCTAGCAGTGAGAACACAAGGAAATTGGTTTTGACAACCACAGCTGTCTGCTGGCAAAGAGCTTTAGAGATGGCTGTCCTTGGAAGAAAAGCAATTCTTGGAGCACACAGAAATCGTGTGTGTAGCACACCTTGGATTATTGTGTTTCACTGATGTCTTGCTTGTTGTCCCTGCATAAGGAGGAAATCCCACAGCCTCAGATGCTCTGTAGTGCCATGAATTTTCAGGTGAGCAGAGAACAGCCACTGTATCTGGGTTGTTCTCCAGCCATCTGGAGAGCCTGGCACCTCTTCATTAGCTGCAGCAGGAGGTGCATGGCACCAGGCTGTCATGTCTCTGCCTCTTAATAGAAACTGGGTTATTGCAAAAGCAGAAATCCCAAGCCAACAGCTTTGTTTCCAGGATTTGAGCAGACTTCTGGCAGCAAAAGGAGTGGATGGCAGTGGAAGTTCATCCAGGACTCTGCTTTGGGTAAGACTAGTAAAGATTCTCTGAAGGAGCAAATCTTCTGCATCCTCTGGGATAACCTCTGAGCTGGTACCTGTAGCCAGGGATGCCCCAAAGGTGTGAGTCTTGGTTTCAGCTCTTTGCCACGTGGTTTTTGGCTGTGTGGTGCAGGAGGTGTGTTTCTAAGTGGTTCTGCACTGGGATACAGGGGCCTGGATTTGTCACAGCAGGCTAAGGCTTCCTCCTGCCATTTGGACCCATCAAGGACAGGATGCATGATGACTGCTGTGTCATCAGTTGGTGCTGGTGCTAAATGCAGTTGGTGATTTACAGAGGTAGGTCTTCAGGGCTGCTCTCTAACTCTGGGTTTTCTCCTGGTATTTTTTCTCTCAGGCTCTGTCAGCTTCACCTTGCTGGTGGTTCAGCACTGAGCTCGTTCTCTTCCATGCCAGGGTATTTTAAATTTTACTCCCTCAGTTCTCTTTTGTCCTTTCAGGAATTGTTCTAGTTTTCCTCTTCTGAGGAAGCTCTCATTTTGGCTAGCAGCAATTACAAAAAAGGCCAGGAAAATATTAGCACTTTGGCTTTTTTTCTTGTTGTGCTCCTTGGAGATTTTGAAATGTCTAGGTGTCTGTGCGTGCTGTCACAGGTGGGTAATTTTCCTTTGCTGGATGTCAGCCATATCTGACAGTCAGGGTGACTGGGACACAGTATGGTTTGTAGAAGTTTGGTTTCACAGGGAGGCACAAGTGTGTGATGAATCTGCTTCTTTTCAAGGATCTTTCACTGCTGAAAGTAGCTTGATGCATGTATGCAGAACAAACCCTGGGTAATAAGTCTTTCTTTGGGGTCTGGTCCAAGCCCAGTGAACTCACCAGGAGTCTTTCTATTGACTTCAGCTGGCTCTGGATCAGACACCTGCCATCTCTCTGGACTCTGCTCCTGCCTATTACTCATCCTTCCAGCTGGAGGAGATGGTGCTTGGTTAAGATGCAAGATCCTGTTGGTGGGAAGAGAGACCTACCTATTGTAAGTGCTGCATGCTCCCAGGTGATTGATGAGCAGCAGTGCAGTCGATTAACCTTTCTTCCTGAGAGAGCAGCTTCCATCTCCTCATCTCCACGAGGCTGAGAGCAGTCAAGGCCTTCAGCAGGGGAGGGCTGAGGAGCAGGATGTTCCCCAGAGGTGATTGGTTCCCAATTCTCTCTGCATAGTGGATTTAGTGCATTCAGCAGACCTTGGGGTCAAGCATTTATTAGGCTAAGAGACTGTCAAATCAATCTGCTCTACTCCAGGCAAGTTCTACCAGGAGGATGGGTTTTGCCAAGACTCTGTCTCAGCAATAGATTGATGACTGCCTCCTGGTTGAGGCTGCCTTTCTCTTTTCCATTTTCTGTGAATCAGGGTTTTTCCCCTCACTGACATCAATATTTTCTCCTTAGACAAATTTCATTAAGGAAACTCTTGGAAACTATCTGTAATTTAAGTCACAGGGAGAGTTCCAAACTCTGTAGTCCTTCCATTCTGTGTTATATTGACCCCAGGGCCTTTCTTGAGACCTTGCTTTTTGACTACAGGTGTTTGAATTATGTTTCTGGAATTTTCTTTTCACCCTTTCTCTCCCTTATCCCCCAGTCTTTTTTTCAATGTATATTCTCTAGCACTTACAGGCAGGCAGGCATTCTGATTTTTCTCTGCTAACATCACAGCTTCTTAATGGAAGGAGAAATGCATTGTAAAAGCAAGTATATTTCCTTTCCTTGATACTAATCCTACTTCCTTGACGATTCCTCATTTGCTGTAACCAGGCTGTTGAGCACTATCACCAGCTAATTTACTCAAATGAAATTGTGTTGTGGTCAGGCTTGCCCAGGGATGTCAGCTGCCAGAGGACACCCTCTGCACCCCTGTGGGCAGGTTCCAGCTGCCAGAGCTCTGCCTGACCTGCACAAGTGCAAGGAAAGGGAGTCTAACACAGGAGTGCAGCCTCAGTGCAGCATGGAAGGCTAAAGTCAGGTTTGAACATTTCCACCTTCACTTCCTGCCAGCCTAATCAAGGGAAAATGCAAGAGAAGTCTGAGTGAGCCCAGTGCTCTAAATCAGTTTCCAGTGATCCATATTGATTTGTTTCTTCCCCATCCAGCTGTCCCTTTCCTGCCTCCCCCTCTGCAGGAGCCTGCAGTGATTCCATTAGGATGTGGCTATGTGCATACAGCTCATTTTGTTTCCCTCTTGTTTTCCTCAGGCTCAATTTGCTTTCTCTTGATTATAGAGTAGAATCAGAGGAGCCCTTCATTTCCTCTGGGCAGCATTTCTCCGTAATTCTTACCTCAGTCACTTATTTTGTGAAGGTTTGTTCACCAAAGCGGGTGTGACAAAAACCTGAGTTTAGGGTAACTGAGTGAACAGCCCACCATCATCCCTTCCCCAAACAGTGGGTACCACTTCTTTAGGTAGGTGTCAGTGGCACAATGGGGCTTGTCAGATTTATGGACTGAGGTGTCGGGACTGCACAAAGTCCAAGGAGTTCAGATAAATGGCAACATATTCCAAAAACTGGGCTAGAAAGCATAGACTTATAAAATAAAAGGAATTGCATTAAGATGTATTTTTTTATTGCCATTACTGTTGAAGTGGCTCAGAAGTGTCAGTCTGTTGGGCCCTCAGTTACTAAAGGAACAGCACCACAAACATGAGGGGTTTTGCCTGCTGCGCTCAAGCGTTTTCAACATTCACTCTTGTGCCAGCACCACAGCAAAATATTTTCTTTTCTGGTGACTTACTGCAATTGCAGGAAGAATGTAAACTTTTTTATAGCACTATCATAGATTCTGTAAGCAGTCTGAAGCAGGTACAGAATCTGCATTATTGTGAGGTACAAACTGTTGTTACTGCATTTATGTTAGGAGCTATCTGGAGAGTTTTGAAGGCTCTGTTTGAGCATCATATTGACACTACAAGGCTCAAGCCCAGCTCTGGCTGGGAGAGGGGCAGTTCCTAAGAGGAGCTGAATTGTATTGATTAAGTTCTCCTAATCAACAGAACAACTTCTTGCACAAAGTGCTATTGAATTTTCTGCAGACTTGAAACTGCAAAATGCATAGACTTATTCATAATCAATTACATTCAATACAAAACTTTGAAACCCAAGAGCTGTATCAGTTTAAAATGAAATTCAGGTGGTTCATTTTTATTAGAGATTTGTGTTTCTGGTACCAAATTGAGGCCAGATTTTCAGATATGTTTTGTTTGCCAGTGACATGTTACTCTTGAACACCCCATCACTTGTGTCTGGAAGTAGGTTTAAAAAATTCTGGCTTTCTGGCATGTCTTATTAAAAAATTCTTAGCTGTTGTTCTAAGATTTTTCTGGAGCTGCTGTAGGTACCAGTCAGACTTTAGCATAGTGGATAGTCAGATACAAAATTTACTTTTCTTACCATAATGCC